CTATACTTTCTCCTAAAGCTACATTAGTTTTTTCAATAGCTGCTGCATTAGACTCAAAATGAAAGAGGTAACCATATACTGAACAGAGAGACCAATCAATTATCATCTGCTCGACTTTTGACATTGTTGCGTTTTCGCAATACCTAACTTCAAGACTTTGTGTGCTGTACATACTTCAAATATATCAAGTAGCTTGCAATAAACTATGATGATTAAGATATAGGTAAAATTTTCTCCATATATATAAGAAAAACATTAAGTTCTTAGTTCTATTGTAAAAAAACAAATGTAAGCACATAAAACTTTTGATTAAATTTTAACGAATTTCTACATATCACATTAAAATTGCTGAATTTGGCTAAGTTGTCAGGTAATGGGTTAATACCGTAATTGATATATGGTTACATTTACTTTCTCTTTTGAATTATCTCTTACCTTCTGATACCAGTTTTACTTATTTGCGCCAAACATAAATATGACACGCGCCAAAACCACGTTCTGACATTTTCATTCGCTATTATATTTTGCTATGCAGAAATGTATACATGCATATACATTTTTTTATAAAATTTCTACATAACGTATATATTAAATTTTCACGGTTAAATTAATTCATAATGATAATTCAATACCTTATGAATTTCTAACTAGTGAATTCACTAGTTTAATGTTTGTTTTAAAAAAATTCCACAGTATTTCTCTCCGTGCTTTTATTTTATTGCAGAAAAACCTCAAGATTAACAATAGTAAGTGTTTTTTTTTAATATTAATTTTAATTATAAAATTTATGTGGGTTTAAATTTGTATATCAATTTTCGTCCTTACAACAGTCATGACGGGCTATCTTGGCTATCCAGGTTATCTATTTTGCTGACACAAATGAAACTAGAAGATTAAAACGTTATATCATATCATCTAATCACATATTAGACCTGCTTTTAAGAATTTCATATAATCCTTTTAAATTTCCATCAAATGCAACTTTACTTTATATTAAAAGCCACAATTAAACTAATGTAAATAAACAATGTATTTTAAGTTAAGACCAAATATTGTTCTGTAGAACATTCTGTATATTTGCTAGAATATTGCTCCCATGATTGTTAATATATTAGGTCTGTTCCACGAGCTACTCGTAGTAACTTTGAGTAGCACTATGAATACACAAGTGCGTTCCACCAGCAAATTTCCGAGTAAATGAGAGCATCTGAGAGAGTGTAACATCCCTGCCGAAATTTAAAAATGCTACACAGACTTTACTCGTACACTTTATTTCAAGTAAAATTTGTGTTGATGTGTGGATCAGCTGTTTTGGTTTGAATTTAAGTTTTTATATTGTTTATTTCTGCGGCACTGGTGTTCTTACCAGACTTCACATAAAGCTGTTTCATGAAAATCTGTGTAAAGAGCGTAATTTGGCACTTTATTTGTGTTACGCTCTCAGTTTGTACTTTACTTGCGTTTTACTTGAGTTTTATTATGAGTAGCTCGTGGAACAGAACTTTATATATCACTTGCTTAATGTCAGTAGCTTAGATAGATCACAAATAAATAATGATAATAGGGGTATTCTCGATGTCTGTTTATTTCACACACATTTTACAAAAACAATTCCCTTATATATAATTCTGCACTTGATTTGCAAGACAATATTCAAGACCATACTTTCACTATCAATTACCTCTTGCATATTTGATTTTCAAGACTCTATTGTGAATGATACTACTTTTTTTACTGTTCGCTGGGCAATACTTTAGCAAAACAATCGTTTTTTGCAAAGAATACCTTACAAGAACGGCAACTCCATTGTGAACTAAAATTTGTTTTTTCGCACAACAACAATTTGCCGTAGAGCTCTTGAAAGTGTTAGTGAAAAGTGCACTAACACCAGCTGAAATCACTGAAATTTTTCACCTTTTCACCTTTTTCCGATGCTTCGAGTACTTTTGAGAACGGAATATTTCAAAAAGTTTACCATGAAGAGTGTAAGAAAGAGTGTGGTTTTGTTTTTTGGTTTTGATTTTTTGAGAGTAATATAAAATTTCGTTGCGCCAAATCATACAAAATTTACTGCGCAAATATTTAACAAAAAGTAGTTAAAATTTTGCAAACACTTTAATAGCAGTTACCAAAAAGTAGGTATAGCACAATTTTTATACCAAAAATTAAAAAATATACGTCCATATGTTTGCTGTCAAAACTGCAAAACAGACAGTATTTTAACTCTTTTTATAAGGGTACGCATGTATTTCCTGTTAAAATTTTTTAATAGGGTTCTAAATACACCTGACTATAAGCAAAAGCTCTTGCGTGTAACGCATTCATAAGCTTAGTTTTCCACATGATATTCAGTTGACTTTTACATATAAATTAAGTTTTTACTTTAATAATTTTTTGCTTTTAGTTTATGTATATTTAAATTTGCAATTAATTTTTAAAAGTATTGTAATTATTATTCTGTTAATTTTGTATTTGTAAAAATCTGTAAAAAATTATAACCAATATATAATGGTGGATATGCCTCTTGGGGAACCGACATATAAACTCGGTAACGCACCTTTATGCATACCTCTTGGGTGGTGTGGAAAATGCATACCAAATCTTGAACTTTGGTCGAATAAACTACATAGCTAAATAAACTAAATGTAGAAATAGGAAAATACAAGGGATGTAAAAAATTTGTTATAGTTCTTTTTTTAAATTTTCACACAATAATGATGAAAGAAAATTAATTTTCATTTAATTTCTATGCATATTTCTAATAAAACAGTTTAACGAAAGTATTTTACTATTTATTATAAAATATTAGTAAGTGTGCATTTTATGTTCACATTAAGATAAAAATATTTAAAACATAAACATAAGGCGCTACATGATAATAATCATATCCCAAATAAATTTATGTTTTTAAGGTCATTTAAATTCTGAAGAAAATATTCATATATTCTATACATAATCAACACAAATAAAATAAATGTTTTTAATTTTTATATTATGTAAAAATTTATAATATTCATCAAGCAGATGAACTAAAAATGTATAGCATATATCTCGTTTAAATCTTGCATTAATTCTTGTAAATAATCAAGTCTATTTCATTTCCTAACAATAATAAATTATGTAAACAACTTGTACTTCTTTTAATTAAACTTAGCTAATATTTTTAAATACTTTAGTATTTATATATAAATATATTTTATAATCATAATATAAAATTAAAATTTTTCAATATTAAAATTTAAAAATTGTTAAAAATTATATAAAAACATATCTTCATAAGAAAAACGCATAAATCCGACAATGAATGCGCATGCACCCACTCTTATCAATAGATTTTTCGCTACTGATCACACACTAATGTACGTAAATTAATAATAAGTATTATTCACCACATACATTTAGAGCGGATGCCCGCACATCCTCCCTTATCAACAGATTTATTGTTACTAATCAATTAGAAATGCATGCAAGGCAATAATACGTACCACACATTTAAAGGGAATGCGCGTACACCCTTCCCCATCAACATATTTTTTGGCACTAAATTTAAAAATTAAGTCTTCGCAGAGAAACACAATTTATCATGGATCACTTAAGTGCTGCCGTATAAAAAAGTGAATTGGTAGTAGCTTCAATCTTTGTTATTAATTTCACATCAAAACGGTATTTAATGCTATTATATCAAAATTGATTTTGAAATAATGTTTTACACTCTCAAAAAATATTTAAGAAAATATAACTCATTAAATAAGAAATATTCAAAACTGTTTGTTTTTATTTAATTAAAAAATTTGCTTCTACAAAAGTTTGTTGCCGAACGTAATAAATTAAAATACTATAAAATTCATATGAAAATAGCAACAAAAATTAATTTACTGAATATATATTACATTATTAAACAAACTAAACTGATTTAAATTAATTGATTCAAATTATTATATATTAATTTATAAATTTATTTATCATATATTACTTGTTACAATATATATTTTGTTTACGTAATGTAATATTATTAACCAAATAAGGAAGCATAAGTTTTTTATATTACTAAAAAGTTAACATATGATTAACAAGTAGTAGCAAATTATTATACTGCAACCCCAAAAAGAGAGCAATTTGATGTTATCGTGGTAAGATCACATGTATTTAATACGTGTGCCGAAATGTTATAAAAAATAAGTTTTCAAAAACAATTTCAAATGCACTCTCACGAAGTGGGCGGAGTTTCCGTTCTTGTAAAGATATTCTTTGGAATTCAGCATTTTGAAAAATTCAAAATAATGGAAAATTTGGTATAACAAAATTGTATAAATTCAATTCCAAGAACTGTAATGATTAGTAAATTATTAATTATTAAGTAATGAAAGCCTTTTAGATATATTGGCTTTGCAATATGCGTAATATTGTTTATATTAAACAAAACCTAATGAGTCAGCGGTTGGATATGAGGACGTATATTAATGTCAGTATTTTATATGACATGAATTAATTTATATTTGTTATAAAAGTTATATGTTTAAAATAGTTTAGTTTCAAATTGTCATTATAATATACCAGAGATAATGTGTAATTTTGTTATATTTGATAATTCTTTATTGTCATTTAGCAGTAAACTGACAACAAGAGCAGAAATGTTTAATCGCTATAACACGTTGGCTTCGGACATTCTTTCTTAGTTTTTAAAAGGGACCCATAAAACAAATGAATTTTTTAATCCTTAATCAATTTAAGCAGTTAAATATACTAATACAACGCTTGACTAAAACATAATAAATTACTTTAAATTAAAATGATTTCAAAACATTTCTTTATAAGTCGGTAGGCGATAAGTTGACATATGTGTTAAATTAATGATGTTGAAAAAAACAGTGTACTTTTCAATTAAGAAATAATTCAAGAAATATTTAGTGAAACTTGAAATAATTTAAATATTTATGATACAATTGTGAAAAAATACGCATTAATATATATTTTTAAAAAAAATCTTGCTTTTTCTACGTATATATTTGTGAAGAGACTTAATTATGTTATTGTGAATTGAACACTTTTGGTATTTGGTATTTTTGTTGCTGTCATAATATTTTTAATCATCAAAACAAAGGGGAGTATGTAGAAGAAAAATATTTTTTAGGTCGAAGCAAATATCAAAATTCATTTTAGATAAAAACAGCACTTATATCCAATTGTTTATATTAAAAAACTAAGTAGAATAGAATTGAAATTTTCAATTAGTCGTACCTAAAGTGTAAACAACTATATTTGATTAAATAGTATTTTCTGGAAATACGTGTGCAATTAAATAATTATGGCTGATAATTATCTGCAGCCAGTGAATAATCACTTTGACTTAAATGGTGAAGACTTAGAGGATGTTGATGATGATATTTTTCTGAATAGTTCTCGCACTAATAGTCGAGTCTCTGGTCATAGTAGCACTGGTGTTAAAACGCGTAGTACAAATCCTTTCGAGGACCAAACGCAAATATATGCAGAAAAACGTCGTCAAATTGAAGCACGTACAATTGATTCCACACAGAAAAGTTTAGGTAAGTGAATGTTCACATTTGTATTTGTAGACCTAATGTATTAAATAATATTTGTATTATTTTTTACAGGGCTTTTATATGAAACTGAAGAAGTGGGAAAGGCTACTGCTATTGAACTCGCAAAACAAAGGGAACAATTAGAGAAAACATCAAATCAGTTAGATGAAATCAATTCCACACTACGTTTTAGTCAACGTCATTTAAATGGATTAAAAAGTGTTTTTGGTGGACTGAAAAATTATTTAGCAGGAAACCGTGATCCAGCACAGTCTCCACGTTCAACTCTGTCACCTACTGGTAGTCAGGAATCAACCGCCAACACAAATACAAACAGTGGAATGCCAAGCGAGAAAGCTGCAATGTCACCAACAGAGCGTTATGATGATCATCCTATAAGTCGCATACGCAATGACTCTACTATATATCAGCAAAGAGAACAAATGCAACAACAAAGACGCAATAACCCTTTCGAAATGCAGTTGGAAGCAAATCTCGAAGAAATGTGTGGCAATTTATCACGCTTAAAATGCTTAGCTACAGACTTAGGTGGCGAAATTGAGTCACAGAATGAACTATTAGATAATATGAATTATAAAATTGAAGACGTTGATATTAAGATGACTAAGCAAAATAAAGAAATGAATAAATTGCTCGGTAAGAAGTAGAAAACAAAGATAGCGTTGCATACTAAATTCGCAATTGTTGATTTAATATTTTATTTACATTTTGTTTATAAAACACAATAATATAAATCATGGATATAAGAATCTTCACTCTCACTATAAGAAACTTAGCTTAGAACTATCATTATTAATCAATTATGAGTTATTTAATATATCAGAAAGTATTCATTATTAATATCGAAAGCTGCATGAAGTTATAACAGAAATATATAATTAATGCTGGTTGCTTTTTGTATTAAACACTACCAATAAAATTTTGATATTTTTTTTGAAGAAAATAATCGTTTTTTCAATTACGGAAATTCTGTATAGTCATCAGCAATATTATCTGTGGCGTTGAAATTTATATCAGGCAACTCTATAGTATATACGAGTAACAGATAAAGATACTTATGAGGAATATTTATTCAAGAATAATATAATTGAAAAAACCAATGCTAATATGTGTTGAACATAAAAGTAAAAAAGTCGAATAAATATTAAGAAATTTGAAGTCCGTTTAAATTCAACTATCTCGATAGGGTATTTAAATATTTTCGTATGTATACTAAAATAATAACAATAAATAGAGGACGTAAAACTAGGAAAATATTTAACTCAATATTTTTGATTTTTTATTATAGACTTATCTTCCATTTCGTGAAGATTTTTAAATCTGCTTCTAGAGTAGGGAAGCGCATATAGCTCTCTTGACATTTTAATTAGGAATTATGTGAGCAGAGGTAAGTATGTATTATAATTTGAATAATATAAAAACAAAAATTCTTTTATATATAATATATACATATGTAAATAGAAAAACTTTTGTTTTTGTAATACAAACAAAATAGTATGAAATCAAAGTTCTCTTATAGTTCAAGTAGCTTGCGTTTTATATGACTTCATTTTAGTTGTTTTTATTGTATTAAATTAATAGCGGTTCTTGAAATTGAAGTATTTAGAACCACAACAACATATTGTGATTGATTGAAAACAGAAAGTAGTATAGGTGAGTAAGACCAAATTAATTCTTAATTACTGATTTGATTCTTTATTTATTTATAGATAATAAATGTGGTATTAAAATCTTTAATATTTTGTAGAAAAATTTATTATTTCTTCAACCAAATATTTTTACATAAAAAAAATATTCTTCGTGTTTTTTAAAAAATAAAAACAAACACTATTTCCTAATTCCGAAGTATTATATTTGTTTGCAGAAATGTTTCCGCTGTTGATCCTGGCCGAGTTAACAGAAACTATTGTTTTGTTTTCAAAGCTTTCATTAGTTTTTCCAATTTCATGGCTTTTTGTAAATCACCAGCGATTTTAAGTTTTCCAGACATAAACGCGGGAGCTGGTTTTAATTTGCCCGCAAACATATCAAAGAAATTTTGAGATTTCATTGTTAGCGTGGCATCAGGCGTATGTTGAGGTGTACCATTGCCACAAGAACCAACACCATTCTTCAAATCTAAATACCAAGTACCTTTTTCGTCGCCCTCAATATTAAACTGATAAATAGCCTGAGTTTTTGTTACAATATCTTCTGACAAAAGTGTGCTGATTTTTTCAAACACCTGTGGTATTTTGCCTTTTGAAGAAGCAGAAGCAGGGGCATCTATTGCACCACCTTTTGATTCCTCTTCGCCATCCAAGAAGAAATCAGGCATCAGTTTATCTGCGTTAGCCGGATTACAGGCATATTGCGTCATATCTTTAACTCCTGCTTCTGCAAGTACTTCATCGTCTATTAGAAATTTACCAGTGCTAAGACGCGGTTCTTTTACAAGAACCGCATATGCAGAATCTGCCATTATTTCAGGTTTTCGTGACCATTGTGCACTTTCCGCTCCTGTTAACATTTCAATTGCAGCTGTTTGTATAGCAGTACGCGGCCAAAGCGCATTGACGGCAATGTTTTTATCCTGAAATTCCTGTGCCATACCCAACACACACATTGACATGCCATATTTAGCCATTGTGTAGGCAACGTGTGGTCCAAACCATTTTGGATTTAGATTAAGTGGTGGCGAAATATTGAGTATGTGTGCGTGATTGCTCTTTAATAAATAGGGTAAACATTCCTTTGATACAAGAAAAGTACCTCGAGTATTAATGTTATGCATCAAATCGTATCGTTTCATCTCAGTTCCAAGTGTGGGTGTTAAAGATATTGCACTAGCATTATTTACTACAATATCGATTCCACCAAATTTACTTACTGCCTCTGATACAGCAGTTCGCACTTGTGCCTCATCACGCACATCTACAATACATGGCAAAGCTTTTCCACCCGCCTTTTCAACTGAAAATTTATACATTCAATCATTTGTTTGGATCATTTTTACTAATATAAACTCACTTTCTTCAGCAGCCGTGTAAATAGTGCCGGGCAATTTCGGATGTGGTTCGGCAGTCTTAGCACAAACAACTATATTTGCTCCATCTTTAGCGCATTTTAATGCAATTGCTTTTCCTATACCTCGAGACGCGCCGGTTATGAGTAGAGTACGTCCCGCTAATTTTCCAGTATTAATCATTCTGATAATAAATATTTAATGTCCAATTTAATTTGAAGGCAGTTTTCTTAAGTACTCAAAGAACTTTATACCACGCCAAAGAGAAAGTCCAAAGTACAATATAAACATATATATCAAACAAGAGAAATCTACTTCATAATCACAAGAGCAACAACAAACGCAACAAATAAACCACAAACAAAACAAAATACAAACAAGTGTTGTGATCTAACGTCACAAAAACATATTAATGGCATGATCACAATGTAATGTAGGGTGTTCCGAACAGGGTTAGTTCGCTGTTATATATATAACATAATTTTGAATCAATATCCACATATTTTTTTTGTATTTTTAAACTAGAACAATTCGAAAAATATGTTTAGTATAATACGCTACACTGGAAAAAATTTTAGTATGTGCTGTAGATATTAAGTAGTATTTAAAAACACGAAAGTCAAAACAAATACTCCATAAACACAAAACTAAAAATAAAAAATGATGTATATTTTTGTGATTGTTAATTCACATAGAATGATACCTTTGTTCCAGTATCTTATATTACCTACATAATTATTACTTTATTAATACATACTTTATTACTCTAAATTATTGTCAAAATATATTATCTGTGAGTTAATATACACCTTTAATCTAAACAATTCAGAAAATTTTCTAAAAACTCGTTCCAGCAGCATTATAAAATATATAATAAATTGCAAAATTTGGTGCGAAAATTTTATGGTCTGTTTGCTCAATAATAACAATTCATTATTAAATAATGTATCATTCACTGTAGACAATGAAATATGTTAAAAATATATTGATTAATATCAGTTATTCAATAGCTGAGTTAGGCTGCGGTTACGTTTACAAGTTACGTTTATAAGTAATCATATGTTAGTTATTATAGTTACTAAGAACTATTCGCGTGACGTGGTGTCTCTCTCGTGCGAATACTTGATTAAACAAAATATTTTGTTTGAAATTCATTCGTTCGTGTACAATCAAAGGTAGAAATAGTAAAATTGAGAAGTTTATGTTGTTTTCATGTTACTTTAATTTTATAAATGGAATAAACTCGATAGACATATATGTAACATATATACGTCAAAACCTTCTGTTTCCTTCAGGAAATTTAGAATAAGATTTACCTCATTATTAGTCCACTTTTTGTTGCCACATTTCCAATTTTTAGCCAGAAGATCAGACGTTGTTGGACGTAAAATAAATATATAATCAAACAATTGCGCAAAACAATCACAAAATCAAAAAAAACTTAAAAGTTTCGCTAAATATTGCCCAGCAGACAGTAAAAAAAAGTAGTATTATTTACAATAGAGTCTTGAAAACCAAATATGCAAGAGGCAATTGGTGTTGAAAATATGGTCCTGAATATTGTCTTCCAAATCAAGTGCAGAATTATAAATAAAGTAATTGTTTTTATAAAATCAAATAATTTTGCATATGCAACGATGCACAGACATCGTGAATACCCCTATAATATAAGAATGCAAACCATTGTCCTTCTAATATTCATTTTTTTCTTGTATTAAAATTAATTAATTTTCAGTGTTTACAATTTTTATATATTATATTCCACATAACACAACAAAAACTTATAGCAAAAAATGGCATTTTATATAAATTAAGAGTAATGTCAATTTTTTTGAACTAGACTTAATGGTGTTGTTTTAAAGCTCTGAAAAAAAAATTACCACTAATGTAACCGAAACATGCGACGTGTTTGTATGAAAAAAAATATGTACGAATACACTAGATAAAATTCGCATGTAATGTAACCACAGTATTAATTAAATCAGATTAATTTCTACATACATTATATTATGTGCAGTTTAAACACATATTCCTTGTTGCATTACAGTGAACATAGTGTAAATATTGGTTAATATGGGGCTACTTCCTGAAACATTGTTATCAATACTGTAAAAATACGTGCATTGTGTGAATAATTTATCTAAAATGGTTGATGAAACGTTGTTATCAGAACTGCTTAAATACCTTCATTGAATATTTGATCAGCATTTGATTTACCTGTGACATTAGTTGGTAGATTATTGTAAACTGCAGTTCTATTGTGAATTGGCATAATGTAAGTCCAATTAAGCATTGCGGGCAAAGAATAGTTTGATTGCGGCTTTTTTTGTTACTTTTTGTTGTGAAGCGCATTTTAGTTGAATGTAACAAAAATATCGAAAATATTTTTATAATTTAATAAATATGGAGCTTAATAATGCAGTAGAAGAGTCATGCACTGTTTTAAAGGACCCAATATCATTAGTGTAATTTGTTTAAAGAAAATTTATGTAAAAAAATCTAAAAATTTTATGTACATGTGTATTTATAGTATAACTGTATACCGATAAAATTTCTAATAACTTTGTTATTTTCAAAAAGTATTTATAATTAATTAAACTAAAGCTGTGTTTTGTTTGTTCTTACAGTCAACTATTGAGCGATGGCGCTAATTTCGAAATTAGCACTAATGCGGATGAGTACGAAAATAATATGTTCGATGAGCTCAACATTGGCTCTGACGATGAGAATGAAGATAGCGAAACTATAATATCTCAGTTTCCATCGCCTTGGACACAACCGTTTGTGGAACTTAAACAAGATATGGTAAAAATATCAGATGATATTCATAAGAAAATAACTGCTGTTGGTTGTAAGGAAAAAGGTTTAGTTCCGGACAACGCACGTGTATGTATAAAATACAAT